AACTATTACTGTTATTATTATTATTATTATTATATGAACACGTTAGTTTTTGACCTTGATGTTCGAATTTCACCGGTCAATTAGAGAAGGAGAGGCGATCCTAGCATGCGCCACCTTAGGAAAGTGTCTGAAAAGCAATACAACTGGCTGGCCCAAACCCTGTGAGTGAAATTGCGTAGATCGAACTATTTGGGAGACGTTGATGTTTTAGCTAGTCGTCGTGGGCGAAGTTCAGACTACTGACCAAGCCAGATAATGGGTTATCTTCCAGAGGCCCGCTTAGCATAGTTGCGGTATAAACCGCAGATGGGGGTCTGTAAATGTTGAAGAGTCAGGTATACTCGGATACGATATGTGTTTAGGACATAGGAATCAGCGCTGCAGGTATCTATCTATCCTCCTTATCTTCATAATATTAACTTTCTCTTACGCCTATATCTCATACTCCGTTCAGTAACACCTCTACCGTCAGTGTATACCATTGTATACATAGAAATCAACACAGCATTATGTGCAGCAGTTTCACACCTTAGGGATTCATCAGCTCATTATAAACAAAATGATCTCTTGACTGCCATCCACAATAACATGTTGAATTTTATGTGCACACTTTTATTCTCAATATCTGTCTGTTTTTCTATCTGGGAGATGTTGATGGTTGAGCTAGTCTTCGTGGCCTAGGTTTTGGGCGTGCTGGCCTTGTTCAGGCCACGTTAGATAACACGCTCTCTCTCAGAAACTGTACTTAAGGTCTGCTCAGCATAGTTGCAGTATAAAACACAGGCGAACTTTGTGGAAAATGCGCCTGAGCAAGTGTTTGCAACAGAGATTGGCTAGCCACCCTAGTAGAAGGGCATTCTCGGATATGAGTGACCATTATTATTATTATTATTATTATTATTATTATTATTATTATAAAATATGTTCCCCTTTGTTAGTTTTTTAGTTCGTCTGACCACTACGCTTTATATATATATATATATATATATATATATATATATATATATATATATATATATATATATGTGTGTGTGTGTGTGTGTGTGTAAAAACCGTGGGTAAGTAATCTAAGTGAATCATAATACTATATAATATTAAAACTGATCCACAAAATTATACTGATCGGGTAACCATCATCTGGAGAGTCGCTTCCACAAAATAGCGGCCCTTGTGAAGAAGCTGTTCGAGTGGAACATCCATCTCACTAATGGAATACGAAAGACGTGGGCGTTGTGGTGTATTATATGTTAGACCGTAGACAGATTGATGAATAGGTCGAAGGATTGACTGACGCCTCTACACATAGGCCCGCACATACACGCATTGAATTATGTAAACATACATAAATTTAATGCATATTTGTCTTTGTTAATGTTCGTGCGTAGATCTCGATTTACTTATCTAGAAAGTGACCTTTTCCAAATCATCAAAAGAAAGATCAAAGTCACTATTGCTTCCAGTTTCCAGGATCGATTTCGTGTGTAATCGCTATCAGGTCTGCTTCGTGTTCATACTGCCGTTTGATATTTTCTGCTTTCCACGAACATTTTGATATCCGCCAAAATCTTCAACGATCCTCTTTACCATCTCTTCTCATTTGCTTTTTCATTTTCATTTCTTTCTTTTTCTCACCATCACTAACCTGCGGCAGGTGGATGGCCCACATCAAACCATATATTTGTGTTAATGATGGAAACGGTAGATTTCTTGTCTGGTGGTAGCGTCCCATTGCATGAAGACACTTTCTTTGACAGTCGTTCCCATACCAACATGACAAGTGTTTTTTTACGACTGCCACTGCAGCTCTGTCTCCTCCTCCATCTGTTTTTCTTTTTTTTATCTCCGACCTATCTCTATATCAATCTCTTATTGAAGTCTGTCAAGATGTCATTTATATTGTACCCGTTTTATAGAAATTACGATTAAATCAAGATTTGTTTTTAAATTTAAAATGTGACCATCTCTTTTTTCCAACAATGACATGTCAGAGCTAGTGGTTGTTGATATCAAATTTAAAATCTATTTCCGTTAGTTTTTATTTAATTTTTTTTAAAATTTAATTTTTTTAAATTAAAAAAAAATAAATTTAAAAAAGTTTAATTTAAAAAAATATTTACAAATTTCAAAATTAAATAAAAAAAAAAAAGAAAGAAATAGATTTTAAATTTGACTTCAACAACCACTAGTTCTGACAGGTCAGGAACGGTCACATTCAGTGCTTCAAAAAAAAATTACATCATCACTGAGGGAACCATGGAATTTTGCCTATTGTGATGGACTCGTGTTCTCAAAGGATTCCTCGTACCGTGAGCGCCTATCGGTACATCATCTAAACGCAGACTTAAAGTGGAACTCATACTGTGAAACATTGCTGAATATGTAGGGAAAATGGCCGGTTGCTTGTACAGCTCCAGTAAGTACCTGGTTCGTCCTACCATCCTCTAACTTTACAAGAGCCAGATCAAGTCCCAAAAGGAGTACTACTGTCATATGCGGACAGGAGCTGCTTAGTCTTCCCTTTCCGCATCTTCGTGGGTGAATTATTTGCCACCTTACAACCCCTTTCCCCACATACGAAATGTTACAAGCCTTTCGCTATTTCAATGGGAAGTGTTCAAATGAACTACATTTCTTAGTTCCAACAATTCTCATCTTCACATTGTAGTCAACCGTCCTGGGCATGACAATAAACTACATCCGCACGCTGAAAAAAGGCGATAAACTACATCCGACGGCAAGGCCTCTGATCAGGAGGTTTTGAGGAGCGTGGGACCACCTCTTAATTACTTGTGTTCCCAGGTGCCCCCTGACCTGGAGTGGTAGCACCTGTTAGGGTCCCAGCTATGGGCAAATAGTTAATCCCAAACCCGGCCGCGACCAAGGTAAGACGATAAATTCCGACCGGCGTCCTGGATAAGACGATAAGCTACATCCGCATTCTGGGTAAGACGATAAACCACGTCCAGCAGCAAGGCCTCTGATCAAGAGGTTTTGAGAAGTGTGGAACCACCTTTTAATTGCTGATGTATCCATGTCCACCCTGATCCGGGGCAGATTGTTCTAGTTCTACGTGCCATGCCTCTTCCGGATGTCTCAGTTATTTCTCTTTAACTCAAATCACCAAGTTTTTTTTTGGTTCACCTCTAGTGTAGCCAGGTATTGGACTCACAATTTTTTGGGTCTAGTCACTTCGGTTCGAAATTCTAATCACCTGAAGAAGGCCGGAGCGTACAAAAGCCGAAAAATTGTGGATATGGTAATGAAGATGAGGACAACAGTCCGAATAATGTAAATAATCATAATACCTCATCTCAGAGATAAAGACAGACTCGCTGGAAAGGTTACACGTTGTTTTCCTCTGATCGACTTATCTTCAATCTATCCTGTGAGGATCAAATTTTCTAAGCCACTTTCCTTATTATGTGCCTTATAAATGCCCACTCTCTCTATCTTAAATATAAGTGTCCATTTGTTTCCATTTTCTCCATCTTATTCTCAACTCCTCTTGTAGAACCACATCCAAACAAAGGCAGACAGTCATATGACGATCAAATTACCTTATATTTTAAAAATTGGATTGAAATCCGGTATTGTATATCGGTACATTGCAGAACATAACAACCTCCATTTTAAACTTCAGCCGATGTCCTTCAGCATTTAGCTTGTCTTCGTCAAGGACGCGTGGTCGTTGATTCCATCGGGGATATCCGCCGTCCTGGCCGTTGAATTCCGTATAGGAAGCACTCCACCTACAGGTGCTGTTTTCTCACCGCACTGTTTGCATACATTGCTGTGAGGAATAATCTATCCCATTGCCATCGACCCGACAAGAATGAACATCGATACAAATTGAAATTAAAATTAGGCGTGATTTTTAGATAATTTTGTTATGAAATTTATAAGTTTGCCATTTGTTGATTTCGTCGTGGAGATTTCGTAGATTTCACAAAACTGGAGCTGTCACATACCAAAAAGCTATACAAACTAAACAAACAAGTAAGTTTGATCCTTATTAGTGGTGACCATGTGCAAGTAGCTACTGGACTGGATGGATGACTTAGTAAGACAAAAAGTTGCCATGTCATATTTAACGTATTTTGAGTTACACCATAACGACAAGACAGTTTCTCAGTTGGATTCTTCGTAAGCACAATTCAGTTGACCTTGGATGACGCAGCAGTTTTAAGGGCAAAAGAAAATTGATTATCAATAGTAAGATGTCTATCTATCTATCTATCTATCTATCTATCTATCTATCTAATGATGGTTAAAACCATGTAATACATTGTAGGAGAAAATATGACAAAGAAATGAAAAGTAAATTTCAAAATTTGATATAAAACATAGCAAATGATTACTGCACAGACTTCTTCACTGTCTTCTTATTTATTCAAATAAAGCAAATCACTAATTGCAAATATTGAGCATATTGAAATATTTATTGCTTTTAAGATTGACTGTTTTGTTTTTACGGTTCATAAATCCTTTGTGCATTATTAAAACTGAAACTTATGTTGGAGTGTAAGAATAATTATTATTTGCAAGTGAATATTGCATAAAATTTCTTTTGAGAATAACAATTATTTTTCCAGATTCTGGAGGCTTGCATTTATATAACGTTGAACCACAAGACGAAGCATATACTTTTATGGAAAATGAAAAAAAAGACACATGTACTTAGAATAAGAGTGAGACAGTTGAAATTTTTAGGTCAGTTAATGAGGAAAGAGTACTTGGAGTATTTGACATGCACAGGATACAATCCATTACATTCACTTACGTGCTAATATCCTTGGGAATGGTATGAATCCTCTTCTTCCCGCCTCCAGCTATGGGCAATTAACAGAACAGACCGGGTTCTGTGGCCTTAGATTTCAACTGGTCTACCGCAGAAAGAAATGGCAGCCTACTGCGGGTAAAAAAATTGGCTCGACAAATAACAGGAAACGTTTGCTCAAAAACATCTTGAAAGGTCTTGTAAACATTATTGTAAGGGTTCACAACTATATCACGTTGAAACACAGGTTTTCGTAAGATCACCGGAGTTAAGCAACGTCGAGCCTGGTCAGTACCGAGGTTGGTGGTTGTTTGGGAATACCAGATGCTGTAAGCTTGGTTGCACGGGTGGTGTAGTGGATAACGGCTCGGAAATGGAAATCAGAGAACCTAGTTCCAATTCCAATCGGGTTTGTTATATTCACTTACGCGCAAAAGCACGAATCCACCTCTTCACTCCTCTGCTATGGATTAAATAGTAGGACTTGTATCTGTAAAGTATTATTATCTCGAAAAAGAATTCTTACAATCGAAAACTATTTTCTGATTTTAAATAACCTTTAAAAGGTTGATAAACCGTAAAAACAAATCAATCAAAATTAAATTATAAAAAAATATGAACTGTTCGTAAAAAATATTTGCTTTTTACCTTCAGGGAATTTGACCATTGAAGGTTGACCCTAAAGCATAGCTTTCGCCGTCTCCTAGGTAGTCTCTTTGATCATATATACAGTAATTAAGCATAAAAGCGCGCGCTCTCTCTACCTCATGCGCTCTCAATTACTTTCATTTGCGGATTCCCACACTGGCTTACAATGACGCATGCGCAACTGTATTATCATTACGATTGGGAAACTTCTAATCAATGTCATTAAAGCGCATTGATTCGATGTAAACAGTTTTCTGTTGGCTTTTTCTCTTTGTCGGGAAATCCGTTAGTCTTTATTTGGCTTGATAGTACGTGTCAATTCTTCAATACTCAAACATTGCGGATTTGAATAAGCCGAGCCGAAACCTGACGTTCTAGACCTGACCTTTTCATTTACTGAAAAGGCAGAATTTAATTTTATCCGTATAATAAAAATAGAATATGTGATGATGATCTTTTTTTTTTCCCATATGATTAAACAAATGAAACTGGCACATTAATAGTAGTTGCATCCACCTGAATATGCTCTGATACTTAGTTTGGTGGTATAGTTTCCCTGATGGATCTCCGGTGCCCAGGTGAATATGAAAAAAAGTGCCAAACAAAGGGAGGAACAGTTTTCATATTAGCTGCATATATTGATATGAATTACTCTTTGGAGCGGATAGAAGGCAAACATAATTTATATATACTGAAACAGGTAATTGCACACATACACACAAACGCTAACACACGCAGATACATACATACTTACACACAGATACGCAAATACACACATATATATATAAATATACACACACACAAATATCCACATACACATATGCACATGCACAAACACAAACATCCATATGGACGAGTACACACAAAGAGATTGGTTTATTTTGTTTTACGGCATATCAATACCTGAATGGGTTATTTAATGCCGACAAGATTTTTAGGATAGGTGTGCATGAATAGAATATGTAGTCTTTGTAAGAAATCAGTTTGTAGACCTGGTTTAATTGTCGTATTTTTAAAGAGGGTTTTTGTCGAGAGTCAAATGTATTGCTGGTAATAAGTATTTTTCAAAATTGTATTGCTGGTATTTTTAATCTAAAAATCTATTTATATTTTCATACTGTTTTGACCGCAGTTTGAGGGTTTACTATTTGTCCATAGCTAGGACCCTAACAGGTGCTACCACCCCAGGTTAGGGTAAACCTGGGAACAACAACAATTAAGAGGTGGTTCGACGAGCCTCAAAGCCTTCCGATCAGAAGCCTTGTTGCTGGATGTAGTTTATCGTCATGCCCAGGAAGCCCCAGAGAAAGAGAGAGAGAGAGAGAGAGAGAGAGAGAGAGAGAGAGAGAGAGAGAGATACGCACGGATTTAAATCGTGTATCTTTATTTCTTTGATTTTTCCCTGATTTTGTAATCTTTTTATAGATTTAAAATATATTAATTATATGCAAATGTTTCAACCACTCCTTTTGAAAAACTTGAAACTGAATTGATAGTTGAAGAGGTTCTTTATTATGGACAGCTTTCTACCATATACCTAATCCTATCTCTGTCCGATAATAGTTGTTACATCTGCGTAACTGCCTCTTGTTTATTTTAAACACTCTAGAACTAGAAGTTCTACTAGCATTTATAATTGGCAGAGATAATATGAACAATATAAGACATCCACATGATATCATGTTGACGGCAGACACAAAATGAAAACTGCAAGATCTCCTGGACAAGTAGTAAAACGTAAAGAAAGACCTAAGAATTAAATATAAAAAAAATAACAGAATGCTTGGTTGTCAGCAAAAGGGAAAGCCAAAAATACAAGTTATGAATTGGATACGTCAAAATCAAACAACTATAGGAATTTAACTACCTGTGATGTGTAATAACAGACGATAGAAATATTGGAATGGTGAAAGAAACCTTCCAAATACTAAAAAAGTATTAAGAAATAGGAAAATTTCGTTGTAAACATAGAAAAGTGTGCTAAAGTACCATTAGATTATTAGGAAAATAATGTTCGATTTTAGAATAAACCTTTTGTGTTCTAATATATTATTGGAATAGCTGCAGAAAAAAATACATTATCAATCCCTAACGATTGAAGCATCCGTTTTGTTAATTTTATACCAATCTCTTTCAGAAGTTAACTTCAAACTTTATATACTCTTCATCTTGCACAGGAAAATGAATAGAGGCGTTTATTTTTTTTCATGAGATCAAACTTGTTCATAATGCTTCTTAAACTACTTCCAGCTTTAACAGAGCATGGGGTGAAGGATACACTTGTGATCGGTCAGCATGTCACTGATTTCTGAAGTTCCATAGTGGTGATACGAGCCTTTAAGATCAAGATGGTAGAGGAGGTCCATCTGCAATTAACTCTCAACATCTGAAAACTAGCCGTAGAAAACATCAAATTTTCAGAGAATGTCTCAAATTATGGGTGCCAGACTTCCAACAATATCGAAACCGTCTTAACAAAAAAGGCAAGTTGAAGAAACTCGATAAATGGAAATAAATTCAGTTAAAACTAGAGTTTTTATGTTTTGAAGTGTGTTCGATGCTTTCATCTTTGAAATTCAAATGATCTATCTTTTGATTGAATAGATGATGAGAAATGGAAACTTTATCATAATCGTAAACGATCAGTTCAATGGCTTGATTATGACGACGGACCCAGACATTTTCCAAAAGCCGGAATGGTACTAACAAAAGAGTGTGGTGATTCTCTGGTGGTACGTCATTGGTTCTATCCATTACAGGTTTCTGGAATCTAACCAGAGCATCACTACCGGAGTTTAATTAAGCAAAATGCGACCGGCATTAGTTAATCAACGAGGTTCATTTTTGTTTCTTGACAATGCTCGATAAAATGTTGCCAGGATGACACAAAAAGCTCACCTAATTGGGACACGAAACTCTGCCACACCCAACATGTCACTCGTCCACTGACTACCACTTTTTCAATCATCTTAAAAAATATTAAGCCAAAAGACATTCCGTTGCAAAGAAGATGCACAAACTGCATTCAAAGATTTCTTGGCACCTAAACCGTTGTTTTATTTTAAAGGCATAAATAGCGTTGTAACTCGATGACTGAAGTGTACAGTTGTTCAGTGTTCCTGTTTTGAGCGATTTAAGTTTTGTTTAAATACATTATCACAAGAATAACAGTTGATTCTAAAATTGGATATTATTTACGGAACAAACTAATATATGGTATCAATCTTCATATATGATAATGAATACTGGATCCTAATAGACGAATAGAAGACTTGAGGTAAAAGATATCTGGTTCTACAGAAGGATGTTAGGAATACTATAGATGGACCATGTGAGCGACGAGGAAAATGGGAAGAAAAATGTCATATACGTAGAATGAGAAAGAGACAGTTGAAATTTCTAGGACACATAAAGCGGAAGGAAAGCTCTTTCACATTGGACACACGAGAATAACCCACTCGTACTTGCTAAATAAGGAAGATCAACCATTATGCCAAGCATGTGAAAAGACATACACTATTAAACAAATATTAACTGAATGTCCAGGCATTGCTCTCTCAAGACAAAACTCTTATAATATAAACAACATGTATGAACTCTTTGACGAACCTAAAATGGATGACATAATATTATTTCTTAAAATAGTGGACCTGTACCGAAAATGTATGAACCAAATGAGAATATCAATAAAACCAATTTCTCTATAAACTGTATATCTGAAAAGAATGCATCAATAAAACCAGACTATCAACAAAAACACTCTTTATAAAAGATACGTCAATCAAACCTGATCTACAAAATGCTTTCTTACAAAGAATACATATTTTATTCATACGAAAATATTCTAATAATCTTGTCGGTGCTAAATAACTCCTTGAGGTTGATATGCTGTAAAAGAAAATAAAGCAAACTAAACCGGCGAGCTTAGAGAAGTTGGCATTGAAATGATACCCTGAAGGCAAGATACGTAGAGGGAAACATCAATTAAATTACTTAAATGGAAGCCATAACAGTGAATTGGAGGTATAGCAAACGAAAAATCATTTCTTAGAGTTACAGCAGAGAGTAATGCTGTAGAGAAGCCATAATCGCCCAAGCTTATTCTTATATGTTATTGCGTTTATATCTAACTGTAGTAATTTTATTAAACCCGGGGTTTTAAATCAGATTGTTCAGATGTAAGCAAAAATTGTGATTGTTAAAATTGTATCTACGATAATTATATATTCTAGCAAATAATATCCTTTAATCTGAGGTTGAATTTGAAGAGCACGTCTATAGGTGTTATCAAGAAATTATCTTTATAAAATTAGTCATCTGAATGAAGAATAACTTAAAAAATTATAACAGTATCTCTATCTATAAAAGGCAGGATGTGTGTGTGTGTGTGTGTGAGTGTGTGTGTATGTGTAACGAATGCACGGCCGCAATTTTCGACGGATTTTCACCAAAATTTACATGCGCATGCTCCAAGTTAGTGGGAAGGCCAAGACTGACTTTTCCCAACTCCCATCGATAGTGGAAATAATCGATTTTTTAATGCTTCTACGGCAGTTTCCATGTAGTTTGCGGCAATTTTCTACTGACCAGAGTAATAGCCTATAACTGGCTGCCACGAATAGGCAGGAAGATTCTATTGGCCAGTGTGAGAGCCAACAGCTGACTGACACGGATGTTAACTAGCAT